TTTGAGGTGGTGCTCTACCTCAACCAGATGGGCGTCTTCAACTTCGTGGACGACGGCTCCCTGCCGGGCTGCGCCGTGCTCAAGCTGAGCGACGGCCGCAAGCGCAGCATGTCCCTCTGGGTGGAGTTCATCACCGCCTCGGGCTACCTGTCCGCCCGCAAGATCCGCTCCCGCTTCCAGACGCTGGTGGCCCAGGCGGTGGACAAGTGCAGCTACCGGGACGTGGTGAAGATGATCGCGGACACCAGCGAGGTGAAGCTCCGCATCCGGGAGCGGTACGTGGTGCAGATCACGCCCGCCTTCAAGTGCACCGGGATCTGGCCCCGCAGCGCGGCGCAGTGGCCCATGCCCCACATCCCCTGGCCCGGCCCCAACCGGGTGGCGGAGGTGAAGGCGGAGGGCTTCAACCTGCTCTCCAAGGAGTGCTACTCGCTGACGGGCAAGCAGAGCTCGGCCGAGAGCGACGCCTGGGTGCTGCAGTTCGGCGAGGCCGAGAACCGGCTGCTGATGGGCGGCTGCAGGAACAAGTGCCTCTCGGTGCTGAAGACGCTGCGCGACCGGCACTTGGAGCTGCCCGGGCAGCCCCTCAACAACTACCACATGAAGACGCTGCTGCTGTACGAGTGCGAGAAGCACCCCCGGGAGACCGACTGGGACGAGGCGTGCCTGGGCGACCGGCTCAACGGCATCCTCCTGCAGCTCATCTCCTGCCTGCAGTGCCGGCGCTGCCCCCACTACTTCCTGCCCAACCTAGACCTCTTTCAGGGCAAACCCCACTCGGCCCTGGAAAGCGCTGCCAAACAGACCTGGAGGCTAGCCAGAGAAATCCTCACCAATCCCAAAAGCCTCGACAAGCTATAGGGTTAACAGCCCCGCGCGCAAAACTCGCCCTCCGTAAACAACAACAGCGCCTAAAAAACTTTTTATTTAACGCAAACGACGACGGAAAAGAGGCGGCGAAAGAAACGCGGCCCCCGCCACCCCCCACCCACCTGCAGCTCGGCGTTTAAAAACTTACAGACGGTTTTCCCGGCATAAACTCTCCCCGCCTTGCACGGAAGAAGGGAAGAGCCTCTCCTCCTCCTGTCCTCCAATGTGAATTTTTAAAAAGTCACAAAAAGAGAAGCAATCGGACTTTTGCAACCTCAAAACGAAACCCGAAAGGTACATTTTCCAATCCCTGTATAGTCCTTTTCTTATTCTCTCTTGTTTGCCTGAATGTTGTCACCAAGTGAAAAATTATTTAACTATATGTACAAATCTCCCTTTAAAAAAGTTTTACTGATGTTAAATGTATTTCGGTGCCAAGGTCAGATTATGTGCCCCACAACTGACTTGTTGCAAATAGTAATAAAAATATTACTTTAACTTTACGCTGACTTTTCTTGAATGGTTCTTAAATTCAGGCAAGTAGATTCTTTCTGAATCTCAGAAGTCAAATTTGAAAGAAACGGAAACAGGAGATGTAAAGATAGTCTAAACGCGACACCTAGCCGATGCCTTAGCTTGGCGTATTCGCTGACGTTTTCTAAACTTCCCTGTAGTTTCTATAAACATAGTGCATCTAAGAAAAAAAAAAATCTTAAAGATTCTGTTGTTCGGTATGTGACAGTGTCTGCTATGTTTCTATGACTTTAAGCTTCCTCTCTAAATCTTGGGAATATATGGAGCGTCGCACAGCAGCTCGCTCGAATGTAGACAGAATTAGAGTATGCCGTTTCTTACCCTACAGTCGTCACCTTTATTTTTTTCCTTAGAGCTTTCTTTCTTTCTTTCCCCCGCCCCGATAAATCTCAAGCGCTCCTATTTAGTTTTCAAAACTACATCGCTATTTGCTTTCGCTTCCCAGAGCGAAGGCGCTATATCCATTTGACTCTGACACGAAGTAAGTATAGATCTACCCTGAATAATTAATGCGCTTTAGAGCAACCGGTCGATATTTTTTTTAAACAAACATTTGTTTTCCCCGGATTTTTAAGCACAGCATAAAATCGCGCCACAGCGTAGCCAGACGAGCAGATAAGCAACCCGTAAGGAAACCGCCCGATTCTGCATTAGCACCCGGTCGTTCTCTGCGCAGACACCGCCGATCTCCTTCCCCGCCCGAGCCCCCTCTCCCAAAGCTAAGCTCTACCCGATTCCTTGTATTTCATGCTATAGCGATTTCGCTTGAAGTTTGCTCAGGACGACTTCGAAATATCCGCAGGATTTTTATCCGGAACGCATTTCTAAGCTTTGAAAACGTTACCATTAGCTGCTCGAGCCGCCCGAAAGATTTCTAAGCCGGCTCGGAGCATTTCGAGCAAGTTTTCCTATCCTTTCGGGGGGGTGTAAAAATTTAAGTTCTTGCCCCAAAGGACTACTTCCGTTTCTTTGTGGACGGATCCGGAAAGAAATAGCCATTCAAATTTGAGTTGCTTTTGTCTTTAAGTTTAAAAAAAAAACCAAAACCCAACAACAAAAAA